GTGATGCTCACCGGAAAGGCCGCTGCTAAGGAGATCAAGTACGACAAGCTCTCCGCCAAGGACAAGAAGCTCATGGACATGGCCATGAAAGTTGAGTGGTCCAAGTGGACCGAGTTCGGGGCCTACAAGAAGCTACCGCCCAAGGAGTTGAAGGAGATCTTCCAGCGACACCCTGGAATACGACCAGTTGGTACCCGCTGGGTGCTCACGCAGAAGGCCGCCAACCTCATGAAGGCCCGCCTTGTCGTCCAGGGCTGTCAAGAGGACAAGTCCCAGATCCGCACGGACGCGCCGACCGGGTCAAGGGACGCGCTTTACCTCACGCTTGCTGCCGCCGCCCAGCTTGGCTGGGGCCTCACGTCGTACGACGCGATGACGGCTTACCTGCAGTCGGGCAACATCGAGAGGCTGCCATTGCTGCGCATGCCAGCCAAGAACCCGCCGCCAGGCACATTGCCCGGCGAGATCGCGATGGCGACTGGCGCCATCTATGGTACCCGAGATGCAGGACGCCAGTGGTGCCTCTACGCCCAGAAGGTGTTCCAGGAGCGCGGCCTCATCGAGAGCAAGCTCGAGAAGGACTTTTACTACTTCTACGACGACAAAGGGCTCGCTGCCATGATCCACTCCCATGTGGATGATTTCCTCATCGCCCAGCGCGGAAGCTCCAGTGAGTGGAAGCGAGTCATTAGCTCCTTGCAGAAAGGGCTGCACCTCAAGAAGGTAGAGGGTATCATCAAGTACTGCGGCCGGACAATCGACAAGATCAACGAGGAGTTCCGCATTACCCAGGCGACGGCCGCCGCCCAGGTGGATTTCATCGAACTCAACGCCCAACGCGGACGATCACCAGAGGATCGGCTTACCACCTCGGAGGTCTCGGGATATCGCCACACACTCGGCCAACTGCTTTGGCTCGCAGCACAGACGCGAGTGGACATCGCCTGCCCGGTGAGCCTTGCGGCTCGCCACGCCAACACCGCCACCGTGGCCGACGCCAAGACGCTGAACAAGACCGTCGCTTACGTGCACGGGTCCGCCGACTTCGCCATAGTCATCAAGCGCAACATCATCGACCTGCGCACTTGCACCATCATCTGTTTCAGCGACGCGGCCTTCGCCAATGTGGACGGGGTGAAAAGCCAGTGGGGCATGGCGATTGGGCTAACTCACAAGCCACGGGACGTCGTGGCTGGACGATATGACTTGTGCCTGCCTGTGGCCTGGCATTCGGGCACGGTCAAGCGATCCGTGAAGTCGACGCTGGCCGCCGAGGGCTACGCCACTCTGGAGGGCGCCGAGTCGAGCACGTGGTTCGGCCAGCTACTTACGGAGGCCTACAAACCGAAGAAGACGCTCAAGCAGATCGACGACCTCAGCACCAAACGATCCGTGGAGATCTACAGCGACAGCAACGGCCTGGTGACGCACATCAAGTCTGACGTGGGTCAATCCACGGACAAGCGGTTCCGCATCGTGGCATCAATGATCAAGGAGACGGTGCACCCCAACAGCCAGCTGAAGCTCTCGTGGATACCTACGTGGAGTATGGTCGCCGACGCGCTCACCAAGATCATGGAGACCGGAGTGCTCCTCGCTTTCTTCGGGGCCAAGAAGTACAACTCTGGCACTAGGCAACCGCGCGCCGCCATGCTTGCCTCAGTACTGATGACATGTCTCGGACGCGTGAAGGCACAGCATCCCCCACAGGAATGGCAAGTGCCGATGTCACATTGGATCTACTACATGACATTCATTGCGATGCTCAGTGGGATCATGATTGGATTTACATTGTTCGCAGCGCTGTGGTTTGTGGTGCGAAAGGAGATATTTGGGCCAGGCGACCCCAATCCCATCCAAATCGGGACCATCAACAACACCAGCAATGGGTCCAAGGCCGATCACACCGGGCACGCGGACACCCCCTTGCCCGGAGTATATCCAGGATGGGATGGACGATACGTTGGACGTCGCAATAACGTACAGCCTACCATTCCCGAAGATGTCGACGGAGATGTCTACATGGAGCCGCCGATGATTGCCGTCGCAGCCCAGAGTTCATCATCAGCAAGCGGATCGGCAGCGCCAGCCGCACCGCCCCCATCACCGGACAGCTTCGCGCAGGGAGCGAGCTCTGCGCCATGATCGCCGATGACGGTTCACAGTTCCTCGTCAGCCAGTGTGGTTTCGTGGAACGGATCGACGCCAACGGTTTCGCCATCGGAGATGAATGCATGTGTGGCCGCCGAGCACAACATACGTGTGGGACACAACACACCTAGTGTCTACATAACCTGCAGGACGTGCAGGAAGCATGCGTCATGGCTTCGCAGGAATCACATGACCCATGAGCCAGACTTTTCGAGGATGCACATTAGTCTGCGCTGGGATTTACAGAATAGATGGAGGCAGCTACAAGGGTTGCCCGGCAAGGCGAAAGCTCAAAAGAAGATTTCGTGACGCACGCCGCCGCTCTATAACTGGAGCCACATTGTGTGGCAGATTACGTTAGTCCGCATCGTTTTGTCAGCTCGTTTTCTTTACACCTGGCGCCACATCGTGTGGCAGATTACGTTAGTCCGAATTGTCTTACCAGCTCGTTTTCTTTACATTTGGCGCCACATCCTGTGGCAGATTACGCTAGTCCGCATTGTTCGAAGCTTCATTCAGTGTGCACAGTTTTTTTCTTATGTGGTGACGACCACACTATTGAGATTTTATCTTGATAAGATAGCGCTATTTGAGTTTTGTCGCATAGCGATCGGACTCGCGCTGCTGTTTGCTTTGAGAAGTTATGTATTTCTTGCCGGTGCGTGTAGCAGCACCCGTTAAATGCCCTGGGGCAGCCGGATAGCATGCCGACAAGGCCGTTTGCCTGTGTTTGTTTTGGAGCGCTCTGATTAATGAAGTGAGCTGCGATTGATGATCGTCGCTCGACGGCGCCGCGAGCGTCAATCAGGAGGAGTGTGATTCCCGCTCACTCCCCGTGCCTTTCCTGCTCCTTCCCAGCTTCCCCGCTCTATCTCTCACGCCCGCCTTGTCGCCGCCATTTTGTTTCAAACTAGGGCCCTTGGCCTTAGAGCTACGCAGAGAGTTTCGCCGCGCGATTCCTCGACAAACGATATCAGCGATATCCATATCACACAACAAACAAAAGGGATTTGCCACATTTCTGAAATTCGGTGCCACCCCTCACGCAGATCCGCGGGGTTAGGGTCCAAAAACACATGAGATTTGCTACATTTCTGAAATTCGGTGCCACCCCTCACGCAGATCCGCGGGGTCAGGGTCCAAAAACACATGAGATTTGCTACATTTCTGAAATTCGGTGCCACCCCTCACGCAGATCCGCGGGGTCAGGGTCCAAAAACACAAGGGATTTGCACATTTCTGAAATTCGATGCCACCCCTCACGCAGATCCGCGGGGTCAGGGTCCAAAAACACAGGGGATTTGCCACATTTCTGAAATTCGGTGCCACCCCTCACGCAGATCCGCGGGGTCAGGGTCCAAAAACACATGGGATTTGCCACATTTCTGAAATTCGGTGCCACCCCTCACGCAGATCCGCGGGGTCAGGGTCCAAAAACACAGGGGATTTGCCACATTTCTGAAATTCGGTGCCACCCCTCACGCAGATCCGCGGGGTCAGGGTCCAAAAACACAGGGGATTTGCCACATTTCTGAAATTCGGCGCCACCCCTTACGCAGATCCGCGGGGTCAGGGTCCAAAAACACAGGGGATTTGCCACATTTCTGAAATTCGAACCCATCACGCACATCCATCGCAAGGCGTGGTAACCCAAACTGCGAGAACTCCCTCGGCCCTTTCATCGCAAGGTGTGGTAACCAAGCCCTTAAACCATACACGTCTTACCAATCGCCAGGTGTGGTAACCCCTCTTGTGATCAGTTGGTTTTGCTGATTGCGACTCGGCTTCGCATGAAGTTTCGATACTGCTTCACGACAGCGCCAAGGCCTCATGACTTAGCTCTTCCATGGCCCATTCTCCGAGAGAGGGGGCCGGCGGCAGGGGGCGAAGCCCTTACGGATTAACGTCCCAACCCCCAACCCTTAGCTCATGGCTTCGAGTCCCTCGCTCGTAGATGCCACCAGCCGGTTGCATATCAGTACTTCATCGCACAGACACAATAGAAAGTTATAAGATCATCATCTGTCTGACAGGCCCACCCCTCCCCTCCCCCCCACAGCCGAAGGTGAGAAAAGAGGGCCGACAGGCTGCTTGGGCGGAACTGCGTGAACTTCTTGTGGGTTGGCAATATCTCGAACTTTCCCGCGGCAGCCGAGGAGGAGGAGGAGGAGCAGGAGGAGAAGAGGCGGAGTGGCGCGGAGCGGGGCGGAGCTGGGCTGAACCTCATGGGGTCCCTGTCTCGACATACTGACTTGAAGGACAACGATCGGAGGGGGACTGGCATAGGGGGGTGCATCGACCTGGAATCGGCGATACATCGTCGACAGATTGGCGATAGGCCCCTGATAGCGAAGCCGCACCTCCCTGGGCGGGGTGGGGGTATCAAACGCCCATCGGCGATCAATGGGCGGTTATGAGTCGATGCATCTCGCCCTTTTCCTATGCCTATCCCCCCCTATCGTTGCCCCTGATGACTACCGAAAGAAGCCAGACTTTCCTCTAAGAGGGCTCCATCGAGCTCAAGCTACATGCGATGCCAGATCCCTCCAGAGGCTCACAGCACAGACTGCACTCGCCCGACAGGCGCCCATATGGGCACGCAGCCCTCACAAGAAAAGATACGAGATAAGCTGTCCCACATAGCGTTTTGACCTCACAAGGAAGAAGGTCCCCGGAGGTCTCTGCATGGAGGACTCCGTGGGCCCCAGGAGGCCCAAGAAGATCCAAAACGTTCAAAGTAAAGCTACCCTCGGAGACTCGAGAATCCTGGCTTGCCTCGTCAGACTCGTTGCCGGTGGGCACGCAGCAGGCGCGCCGCCCCAAGGCAGGTGGGCCGGAGAAGCGCGCTCCTGAAGCCGACCAGCCACGGCCCCAGCTCCGGCGTGGACGCGGCTCCCATGGCCGAGGCCTCTGGGAATAGCAGGGGGAGAGGTCCGAGTCTGCCTCCCTCCCTCCTGCTGCTCGTGCTGGTGGCCTCGTCCTCTCCCTCGCAGGGCGGGCAATGATTTCGCCGCCGCGGCCGCGAGGGAGGGCCTTGCGCTCGCGGCCTGCCACGGGGCACCATCTGCCACGTCACGCTGTGCTCCTCCATCAGGGCACGGCGGATGGCGGCGAACATCGGCAACAGCCAAGTGGCCCTGGACATGCCACCTCCCGACGCCCGACCTCGGTGGTTCAAAGATGGGGTCCTGAGGGATGGGGCCCTAAGGAAAGGAAGGGGCACAAGGGTGGATTCACATTGTTTGAGGCACCTCGTCTTTAGGATTCCTCCCTCAGGACCCCACCTTTGAACCACCGACGACCGCGAGTCCACCATGCACCACAGGCCGCCCCAGATCGCAGCTAGTGCGGGGCCGGAGAACACGCGGCACGACAGCCCGCGGGATGCAGGCCCCGTCGTCCTATCACATAACTCGGAGGCCCAGAGGCTGGCACTGACACCAGTATCGGCGGTGTGCCTCCGCCAGGGTGCGACACCTTGGTGATGGTGGGAATGCGCGGGCTTTCCATGTGGCCGAACTGTTACCACTGACACTCGGGGATCTGATGACCCGGGTCAATCCAAACCCGGGCCACGCGGGCCTTGCAGGATCCTGCAAGATCCTGCAGGATCCTGAAGGATACTGCGCGCTAGCCCGGGTCAGTGCAGTTCTGGCAAGATCCGGCGCTCTAGCTGACCCCCAACTGCATGGACCCTCGTCTCAAGGCTCCCGGAAACACCATAATTATACGATCGTCTTCCCCAGGTGGAGGCACTCCCCGCTGTGATGGGTGTCGGCATCCATGTCCGAGCCTCTAGAAGCCCACTCTGCTGGCAATGCCCTCGCTGGCCGCGGCAGGCCCGCACGCCTGCGGACCAAGCGCCAGGCGCCTGCCTCTCGCCGTGCGCGTCGCGGGCCCCCGAGGGGTCCTGCCACGAAGCCCTGGGCACGAGACGAAGCCAGGACGAAGATAAATCGAACATCTCTGAGATCCAGCGGTTCTGGATGATGTCTCGGGCGCCGCAGCCTTCTCAGAGCGTTCAGGAACGCTCTCAGTTCTGGAACGCTCTGGGACGGACTTACCCTCGTTCCAGCCCGATCCGAGGGCAGCAAGGGCGGCGCACGCGACCAGCGGCGCGAGGTCGGCCTGAGAAACCTCGAGGCAGATCCGCCCGGGGCGCGAGGACCCTCCTCGGCGGCACGAGGAGAGTGTGTTCATGCGGACTCTTCCCATTCTGATGGGCGCCGTTGCCCCTACTGGTGCACGATGGACGACGGGGAGGCGGGGAACGATAAAAGCAACATGTTTTCTCAGGTGCGCCCCCACCGCAGGAATCCCTTGGCTCCTCGGTGGGGCCCCCGTGCACCGTAATCTCCGTACTCCCCCGCTCCTTGAGTGCGCCCCCACCGAAGGAGTCCCTTGGCTCCTCGGTGTGGCCCCGACGCACTGCACTCACTCGCCCCTCTGGTGCGAACACCGTAAGATTCCTTCGGCTCCTCGGTGGGGCCTCTGCGCACTGCACCCCTTCCAAGGCGTACCCCCGCCGCAGGTTGTTGCTGGCTTTTGGTTTGGGCCGTATCCCCCGTATTGCCATCAAGGTGCACGCCCGCCAAACATTTCCTGGCCTCTCGGCGGGGCCGACACGCACCTTTCCCCCGTCAAAGCGCAACCCCCAGCGGGTCCCAACGCACACCGACGGCGCACCCCCGCTGAAAGAATTCGTCGGCTGCTCTGTGTAGCCCCCGTGCACCGTGCCCCCCCGTGGTCAGCCCCCCTCAAAAGAGTCCATAGCTCGTGGTGGGCCCCACGCGCGGCGATCTATCAAGGTGCACCCCCCCTAAACGAGGCCATTTGGCTTGCGGGGGGACCCAATGCACCGCACTTTTCCCCCTTGAATTTTTGGTGGCGACAAGGGACGGTGGTGGGAGGAATTTCCGACTGGGCTCTGCCCTCGAGCCAACATGGCATACGGATGCGAATCGTCACGATCACACTCCCAAGGCCACCGCCCCCGCGGCCTTGTGGAACCCTTTCCGGAGTTTGTGGAACTCACCCCCAGGGTTTATGGAACCCCCAAGGTTTTGTAGACCCCCCCCTGGGGGCTTGTGGAACCCACGGGGGCTTGTGGACCCCCCCCCCCCCGGGCCTTGTGGAACCCAGTTGGGTTTTTTTGACCCCTCCCGGGACTTGTTGCACTCACCACCAGGGATTGTGGAACCACCAGGGTTTTGTGGAACCCCGCCCCGGGGCTTATGGAACCCTCGGGGCTTGTGGACCCCCCCCCCGGGGATTCGTGAGACCCTTTGATGTTTTGTGGAACTCACGCCCAGGGTCTGTGGACACCCCCCTCCGGTTTTGAGGAAGTCCATCGGGGTTTTGTGGAACCTCCCCCGGGGTTTGTGCACCCCGCTGGGGCAGTGTGGAACCTCCACCCCCAAGGTTGTCGAAACGGACGGGCAAGCTCGGTCGGGGGGTCAATCGCCCACCCCTCGATCACTCGCCTATCGAGAGTGATGGATTTGCTTCTACACATAAAACGCCATTCGCGCCTCGGCGGCGCTTCTGATGGGGCGCCAGTGCCCCTACTGATGCACGATGGACGATGGGGGGGGGGAAGATAGAAACGACATCCTTCCTCTGAAGTAGGGGCCGGTCCCCAGGTGCGCCCCCACCGCAGGAGTCCCCTGGTTCCTCGGCGGGGCCCCCGCGCACCGCGATCTCCCGCGCGAAGCGGGCAGGCCACGCCCCAGCTCTCCGAGCCCCTACGGGCTGGCTAGCCTTTCCCCCGTCGCAGCGAGTTCCCCCCCTCCCCCCGTTTTTTGTCATGGGCCCCTGGTGCTCTGTGGCGTTGCCCGCTGCGCCCCATTGATGTTCATAGCGCATCATAAAGGAACTGGAAATACTACCCCCGTCCGCCACGGCGTCGACACAGGTGTCATGTCTCTCGAGGCGGCTGCCAGGAGAAGCCTGGAGCGGCTGCCTCGACCTCCACGCTGCCAGCAAGCCGCGACCTTGGGCGGCCCCGTCGGGTGGAAGCCTGGTGGGGCCGCCTGACCTCCACGCCGCCGCCGGGTCACGACCTGAAGCGGCCGCGCCAAGCCGATGCTTGGCGGGGCCGCCTTGACCTTCACAGCTGCAGTTGACTGCATTGCCGCTTTGCGCACTTCAAGTGAAGAGGAACCCTCCGCGCAAGCGCTTCCGCCCAAATGCCTTATTGCCCTGCTGATTCCATGGGCCCCCCCCGTTCATCTGGCAATTTTTTCCCCGCCGCATTATTCTTCCTCGCCGACCCCCGGCCGCGCCCGGCAGAGGCCGCGACGCGCCCCGGGGGGGGGCACTCCATGGCGCACTCGGCGGAGGGCGCGAATAGCGCCGAGGCTGGTTGCTCACTCGATTACTCTTTTTTGCTACTCTTACACGTTCCGCCCCAGTTCATCTGGCCATGCGTTCCCACCGGCCATGCCGGGAAAGTCCCCGGCCACCCACCTAGTCGCCAGCTCGAGATCGACGGGGGGCGGGGGATTCGAAGCGGCGGCTGGCGCCCCAGCCCACGGGGGCAGAAGGATAGCTTTCGCTGGCCACGGACCACGCGTGCTGCCCCTGGTCCGCTCGGATTCATCAGGTCTTTCGTCGCCCATGCCCCCCGCCCCCAGATCCGCCCTCGCGCCCTCGGGCCCCTGGCGGTCTGCAGCGCGAGCCACGGCCAACCAGAGGAGAACGAATTTCGTGTCCAAGGGCGGCGCAGTCCAGCCGTTTAGCCCTGTTCGCGGCAATGAAAAACGAGGAGGAAACGGGGCATGATTTCATTATCGGGCCCTGCGCACCCCCACCCGTCCACGTGAATGTCCGTCTGGGCCATCAGGGCACCGACGCTGCCAGCCTGATCCCTACGGCCTCATTGACCCTCAAGCCGCGAACCGAGCACCGATGGCGGCGCAACTGCCGATGCATGACATTGGCCACGACCCCCGCGGCCCCCAGAGCAAAGTCCACGCGCGCTGCCACTGCGTCGGCTATTTCTCGCGCCCACTCCCTTTCGGGTCGACCTTCCGCCGGGAAAATTACTCCGCCGGCTGATCCTGGCTGGTCAATGCCCTGCATGTTAAAGCCTGCCCTGTAAACTCCCGGAGGCCCCTTCCCGCCTGGCCCCCCCAAGGTTCGAGCGCGCCGCAAGTGCGGCCACCGCCAGCTGCACTCAACCTCTCACATGTGCCGCGGGCGCGCCGTGCCCCAACCTCTCCGCGCCGCGGCTCGCTGAGCAGCGCTTGAACCCAATGTCGCTGCTTGCCTGTCACGCAGGCGCTGGCCCCAGCGCTGAAGCTGACGACGCTGCGCCCCAGCTTGCCACCCCCCCCCCCCCTGCGGCTCGCGGAGCAGCGGCGCCGCGGCCCGCTACAGCTGCGCGCCTATTTCTCAAGCGCTGGTCCCAGCGCTGTGCCTATCACGCTGGGTTTCAGCCTCTCCGCGCCGCGGCTCGCCGAGCAGTGCTGGAGCCCGCTTCCACTGCTCGTCTGCCTCGCAGGCGCTGGCATCGGCGCAGTGGCCGATGGCGCTCGGGCCCAGCTTATCTCCGAAGCAGCTCGACGAGCAGCGCGCAAGCCCTCTGCCACTGTTCTCCAGTCTGGCAGGCGCTGGTCCCAGCGCGATGGACGACGGCGCTCGGCTGCAGATCCTCACCGACGAAGCTCGCCGAGCAGCGCCAGAGCCCGCTGCAGCTGGCCACAATTCTTGCAGGCGCTGGTCCCGATGCCGCAATTGATGACGCCTGTCTCCAGTTTCTCCGCGCAGCGCCTGCAGATCAGCGCGGGAATTCGATGCCGCTGCTCGCCTGTCTCGCAGGCGCTGACCCAGCGCAGTAGCTCCTAACGCTGGGCCCCAGGTTCTCCGCGCCTCAGCTGGCTAAGCAGCGCCAGGAAGCCCAGCGCCGCTGCTCGCGCGTCAAGGGGCCGATCCCAGCGCTGTAGCTGTTGACTCTGGGCTCCCTTCATTCCGCTGCAGCTCGCCGGGCAGCGCAGGGGCCCGCTTCCACCGTTCGCTCGTTTCGCAAGCGCCGATCCCAGCGTTGTAGCCTGCGACGTTGGGCTCAAGTTTCGCCTCCGCCATCTC